ATGTCAATAGGCTTGGAATGAATTTTTCTGTATGAAACTGTGTGTTTTGACAATGAAGAGGAGATCTTTTTTAAACATTGGAACCTAATTTAATTTTATCTCTTAGAGAGTTTATAATGAGTATAAGATTTTATAAGTGTAATAATTCATCTGTAAACCTAGAAATGTACAGCCAATTTTGAAAGAGATGTACCCTAGCTCAGAAAAATGTTATTTAATAGGTTAATGCTGTTGTAACGAAATGCTTCTTTTAATTAAAAAAATAAATAAATAAAATTTAAAAAAAGAAGGGCACACTACCGCCACTTTATTAAACAATGTAATTTCATACTGTGTTCTAGATACGTATGCTCACATTCAAAGTCAAGTGTACCTCTCATCACTCATCAAAAACACCTTCTTATTGAAACAGCTGAAGACTATTACGAAGTTCCAAACTAATCAAAATGCAGAAAAAGATCAACTGCATGGTGCCTAGCCCCAACTGATACATCTGAAGTGTATGTAACTCCCATACCTAAAGCTCGGGGAATATCATGGAAAAGGGGGAAGAAATTTGTAAGAGTCAGAGGACCAGGATACCTGCTGTTAGTGTCTTCGAGACATAATAGGGCAGCTGTACCCATGAAATCTGAACAATATGGTTGCCTAAACAAGATCTGCATAATGACAATACCATGCGGACATGCCGACATAAATAGGGGAAATTTCACAAGGTCCCACCTCTAGATGAAAAGCTATAGGCCATCAGTGGATGCTGATGGAGGGAGAATCGGTTTTCTCTAGGGACATGCTCCTTGATGGGTTATTCAAACCCAAGATCAGCTCCAAACATATGTACACACAAGTGCCACCAAATGGCCTCAGTACATTAGATAGATAGATGATAAATGATATATAGATAGATGATAGATGATGGATAGATGATGATAGATAGATAGATAGATGATAGATAGATGATAAATGATATATAGATAGATGATAGATGATAATAGATAGGTAGATGATACATGATAGATAGATAGATGATAGATAGATAGATAGATAGATAGATAGATAGATAGATAGATAGATAGATAGAAAGATACATACATACATACATACATACATACATACGTAGGTATATAGATAGATGATGGATACTATTGTGTAACAATAATAATCAAAGAAAAAGTCACACACATAATTGAGAGGGAGTGGTGGGGGATATGAGAGCAGTTTGGGTGGGAGAAGTAGGTGTAGAAATGATGTAAATACTGTATAAGTACTTGTGTATGAAACTATAAAAATTATAGATAAAAAATCATAAACATTAAATTCTGTGCTTTCTACATCTGACAACTTCATTCTCATTTCCTTCGTATGAAAGCTTAATAAAAGACCACAGTCAACATGTCTATTTGCTCCTTTTTTACCCACTGATAATCTCACCTCACTTTGGAGTTCATTATAGAATTCAATCAAATCTGTATAGCTCTGTGTTCATGAAGTCCTTTTTCCTCTTACCTGAGTTTTGCCACAGCTTTTATTATTCATTACTCCCTCCTTTAGAAAAAAAAAGATTTAACATACTTCCTCTAAATTAATATGGCTCCAAAAGATTAGGCCTCGCACCACTGAAATGTTATTGTCTAATATATATGGCTTTTCATGTTGAGTCAAAGTCACATTTTAAACAAAAACACAACCAAAGGGACATACCAGCACTCCCCAAACACCAGCCACCACCATGAATAAAAAATAAGCCCCTCCTGAGTGTTTCTGACTGTCGCTTTGGCACATATACACGGACAGGGACACTGTTGAAAGTTGTGTCCATCACATCAACATTTTCATCAGAAGTGGGTGGAACATTGTGTAAGCTCATGAGGAACACCATTGAGTCCATGAAATGGTTGATTCCCAAAAGTTCAGCCATCCAAACCTAAAAGAAGAGAGGGGGAATAAATTGGTTGCAAATATCAACTGCTGATGCTGTTTGTGAACAGAGAGGCTCCTAGAGGTCTTGAAGGAGAATCTGAGTGAAATAATAACACTGTGAGTTTTTCTGTAGGGCCACAGTGGGCAATTTGGGAACTGTGTGGTGAGTAAGCATGGATCTGGCCAGGTGCTAGCCGCCTTTCCAACAGGGCTCTGTGGACACACTCAATGCCCAGATCTTAACTTTCTTTTTTCTGTCTTCTTTTTTTTCAAGTAGAGAAAGATTTAATTAATACATGTAGAAAAGGAGAATTTTTTTAAATGTCCAGTGACCCCCATATTTGTCTTTGGGATAATGCTGTTTTAAAAAGAGAAAGAATCAGGGGAGGAATTTAAGAAGTATGAGTAAGTAATCAGTCATGGTCAAGGTGTATGTGGTCTCGTTGATCACTGAGCTCTAGTTCTGCAAATCAGACTCAAGAAGATTTTGCTTGAGCAAAATCTATCTGATTCCTGTAAGATAATTATACTTTTTCCAGGTATAGCCTTGTCACCACAGAGAATTGTCTTTATTTAGGGGGATGGTCTACCATCCCAGGCTTTGGTATCATCCCATGTAGTAGATTAGTAGGATGATCCTTATCTCTGAGCCTTCATCCTGGAGTCCATTTTTCTTTACTTTTATTCTGTGCGCCCTGGGGTTGATGTTCTTACTCTCAGAGTTTTCTACATAATGTCAAATGTATTCATGTAGAGATGTACTTATAAGGTGAGCAATATCAATTCTGTTCATTAACCAGTGGCTCTACATTGAGTGCACACTGCTTGGACCTGCCAATTATTTTTCCCTAAGGACGGTAGCCACAATAAAATTAGGAGCATATAAACCCAAGCCTGGCAGAGTTTATTGCCATTGTCTGATTTAGTTTGTAGGACAGTACCTCAGTGAATGTTCACCTAAACTTTGCATTATATTTAGAAGCATTATGTACTTGAGGAACACAAATAAGTTTAACACAAAACGAGTCAGCAGTAAGTATCATTGCAGCCATGAAGAGGTCATTTCTTAATTTATTTTTACTTTTGAAGCTAAATTTATAATCTTTGACTCAATAGGATATATCTATCTACAGCACTAAGAAAAATTAAAGCTTCAGTACTGTTAAAAGCTTAGAGAACAGTGCTAGTGACAAATGAACTTATTTCCTGATGTACAGATACATCTCATATAGGCATCAATAAAGTGTTTTCTCAGTCAAGGCAGATAGGTACACATAAAGCTTTAAATCAGGATTGTCCAAATGGCAACATTTTTATCTCAATGATACTTTTCATAAGCACAAAAATGTCAAAAATGCTATTGGCCATTTACATGCTGAATATCTGGATACAGTGTATATTGTATAAAAGGGAGCACTTGGTCATTCTACATATATTAAACTCATAAGTTTTTGAGTCTGAAAAGTTCTACATAATATTCATATAAACCACAGATATAAAGTTCGACGTTTTTCTAATCAGAGACCTGTAAGACATTAAACATACTAGAATTACCTTAAGAAAATAGTTGTATATAAACTAGTAATTTTAAATACTTTAATATAAACATATAATTAAATCTGGACATTCTTAAGAGTTTCTTAATTCCTCAAAATCCTGAAAATAAGCAGAAAACAATAATTTTGATAAAGTGCACATCTTTGATTTTAAGTTAGATTGGTGCAGATGTAAGACTTTAAACATACTAGAATTACCTTAAGAAAATAGTTGTATATAAACTAGTAATTTTAAATACTTTAATATAAACATATAATTAAATCTGGACATTCTTAAGAGTTTCTTAATTCCTCAAAATCCTGAAAATAAGCAGAAAACAATAATTTTGATAAAGTGCACATCTTTGATTTTAAGTTAGATTGGTGCAGATGTTACCAAGAGCAAAACAGCATATTAAGGCCTGTTACTTTAACCACATAGTATTAGGTCAGGAACCAAGCAGGCATCTCCATACTGGCTGATATCTCAATATCTGGCAAAACAGACTTCAAACAAAATTAATCAGAAGAGGTAAAGAAAGACACTTCATTCTGGTCAAAGGAACAATCAACAAGGAATTCACTATAATCCTAAACATACATGGACCAAACTTAAGAACACTGTATTACAGTAAAAAAAATGATTAAAACAAAATACTACTAGACTTCAAGCTACAGATTAACCCCAACACAGTAATAACAGGTGATTTCAATATCAAATTTTTACCAGTTGACAAAAATTAAGCAGAGAAAAAGAGTTTAACAGCATCATAGATCAAAATATTTTACCCAAACACCACAGAATACACAATCTTCTCAGAAGCCCATGGAAGTTTCTTTAAAATAGACCATATATTGGGACATAAAGCAAATGTCACACATGAAAACTGAAATAGTTTCTTGTATCCTATCCAAGAAATGCAGAAAAATCATAAGATATTCTGAATCATAAGAGAATATTTTGAAAACTTATACAACACTAAAGTGGAAAAATATAAAAGAAATGGATGAAGTTCTAGATACATCCAAACCACTAAAGTTAACTGAGAACATGTCAACAACTAAGAAGAGCCATAATAAACAAGGTGACTGAAACCGTAGTAATAATTTATTTTCTGATTTAAGAAAAAGATCTAGATGGGGTCACAGAATAATTTTACTAGTACTTCAAAGAAGCAAACTAATCTTTCTCAAATTATTCCAAAAAGTAGCAACAAAACTAACACTTGCAAGTCAATATAGACTCTAATACTAAAGTCAAGCAAAGACACAGAAGAAAATAAAAAAAAATAAAGAGAGAGCACTAAAGACCAATATACCTGATGGACATGGGTGCAAACACTCTGAGCCAAGTGCTTCCAAACTTAATACAGGCACACAACAGAGAGAGAATTTTCCATCATCAATTGGCTTTATCCAAGAAACACAGGGATAATCAATACACACAGTTAAAACATGTAAATGTAATATAAATGTAAATGTCATCTATAAAAGTGCTTAAAGATAAAATTCACATTATCAGATCAATAGCTGCAGAAAAGACCTTCCATAGAATCCAACATGACTTCATGATAAAAGTCCTAAAATAGGACTTGGAGGAACCGTACTTCAGCATAATAAATGCTATATATGACAAACCCATAGTCAATATCATCCTAAATGGAGAAAACTTCAAAAAATCCTAGTAAAATCAGAAATACGATACCTCTAAACATATATAGTAATCAAAACCTAGGTAAGGCAGTAAGATAAGAAAAGGAAATTACAAGAATATAAGTAGGAAAAGAAGACAAATTATGCCCATTTAGATTCCAAAGACTATACCAGAAAGTTTCTAGAAATTATCAACACTTTGAGCAAAATGTGTAATATCAGCATCTTTTCTATATTCCAATAACAAACATGCTGAGAAAGTACTCATGGAAACACTCTAATTCATAACAAACCTGAAATTTAAGAAAAATAACTCAGAATAAAAGTAAACAAAGAAGTCAGAGACTTCAACAATAAAAAACTTAATTCTCTTAGGAAAGAAATCAAGGATGACACTAGAAGACGGAGTCCATGCCCATGGTTTTGTACAATTAATATTATGAAAATGAGCACCCTACCAATATCAATTTATAGATTTAAAACAATCTCAGTCAAAATCCCCATAGTATTTTTAACAAAAAATATAAAAAATAATGCTAAAATTCACAAAAGAGTCCAGG